CTGCCACTCATCTGAAGCTCTCCAGCTAAGCTAAGGCAGCCTCAGAAGCTGAAAGACAGAGCAAGTTAAAAATCTGACAGATGAGGTTCCTTCAGCCTTGAGCATCACTAACAGACAGACACTGCTCAGTCTGTGCCAGTGTACCAGCCTTTTAACAATGACAGATCCACATAAAGAATCAGGTAGCATTACCAGCTAATTACACATCTCCTTATGCTTTAATTAGAGATATGCAAATACACCAGACCTGACCGATGCTACATGAAAAGCAGAAAGTGCTGTTTGAACTACAGAGTGCTGCAGAAAACCTGCAGGTGGGATGTGCTGAAAATATGGATCTGGAATCAATACAATTATCAATAAATGAAAAAAGGATGGAATGTTTTTTAAATTAGTTATTCTTTTCTCTTCTTCCCATCCATATATATTTTAAGTAGTACCCTGGTCCCAGTTCCATTATCTGGCAAAATATTCAACTGGAAAACAAGTGCACATTTTATGACCCCCTAACCCAGCTCTACCCCAAAAGGCAACTACACAAATCCAACATGAGACCTGCCTGGGATATTACCAAGCAGCAAATACCTCCCAGCACTTCCTCCTGTTCCATGTGCTGCCTTTACATGCACAGTCCTGCCCTCCTCGCACACCCAGTGCTCCCATTAATGGTAAAAGCATTTGTTATTTGGTGTTGATTGACTGACTCTAATGGAAATACTTATTCATATCGTGAGAAGTACACATACCAAAGCTTTTAAAAAAAAGATAGAGCAAGGTCCTCTCAGGACACTGTGATGGGAAACAGACTAAGAGACCTAGTTTGGAAACAAACGCACTGATGGCAACCAGGAACTTTTAACAAGTTGTTTGCAGACTCTCTAGTTGACATCTTTCTTGTTAAAATGTACCTGGGATTAAACACTGCTAAATATATTGCCAACTCAAATCAATTAAAAGTGTTGAAAATATAATTTGTAATTTTGTATTACAATACATTTGCATTAGTCCTCTATTGCTCACTTTGGTCTGGTAACAAACCTTAGGAATCTCTACCCCATAACTTTAATGCTTCCTTTACATGGATTTTGCTTGGAATTCACAAGGCAGGTTGAAATCATTCATGATAACCTGGCCCAAGTTACTATTCTATACCTACTGACTTCAAAATTAACTTCTCCAGAAGCAAAATTGTTGCTAATTTGAATTTCCACAACTTGCTGCTAAGAAACAAAGGCAAAGAGCCCTGTTAGCATTCATTCTTAATAGCAAAATCACTCTCTGGTAGAAAGGCAGCAAACAGGATGTGCAGACAACTGTTACTCACAAATCAGAAATTTGGTCTCGAACTACAAAACTTCGGGTCTTAGCAATGTTAAATAGTAAATCTATCATTTTAGGTATTGGCAGACATTTTTCTACTAAACACTGATATTATTTTCTGTAGCGTTTCCTGCAGTGCTAAGAAGTCAAGAATACCTGATGTACCCTTTACAAAAGGATTTTCTATTTATCCATGACAAATTTTTAATAGTAAGAGACAGGTTGCAAAGTTCATTCACAGTGCTGCTCTTTCACCCCACAGCTGTGATACACACCGATTTTCTAATAACTGATAAAAATCAGTGCCAGAAAGACAAACCAGACCATTCAGTCACAGCACAGGCTTTCTTAATGATACAAATATGTTACCTAATGACCACTGAAAAATTCCAATTATCAAAGCTGCATGATCTCTTCAGCAAACACATTATCCATTCAAACCTAATTTTGGTTAAGCCACCCCTCATGATGACTTTGATTGAATACACTAAAACAGCAAAAATTTAAAAACATGTTTTTTCACAGGCAAATCTAGAAAACAAAAAAATGTGGCAGTGGTGGTTTTGGACTCCCCAGCAGCAGCACAGCTCCAATTCTCTGCTGGCCCCATCCCAAGCTGTTACTGGAATGAATCCTTGCACAGTGAATCCTGCCGAGTGTTGCAATCACTGGATCTCAGGGCATGCCAAAGTGGCTCCTCTCCTGTTGACAGGATTTCATTTGACTCCAGTGTCTGCTGGTTATGGCACTCACCTGGGGGCAAGGCAGGGAGTTCTCACACCAGTAGAACCCCAGATTTTTGTTTGTTTTCCAAGGCTGTAGAAAAGGAGAGGCTAGTGAAACTCTATCCTGAATACTGCAGCTAAATGCTCTAGGACAACTCTAGCAGGTGTGGGTTCACACCTCACCTTTTGAGGATGGGAGCCCCAAAACAGGTTCCCTGACACCAAGAATAAACATCTAAACCACCAGAGTAGTGACTGGAAATCTCCAACCTCTCATTTTTCATGAAAAATGGTAACTGCAGCATCATTTGTTCAGATTTCCAAACTGGAATTAAGACAATTCATTTATTAAAGAAAAAGATAAATCTTGTTTTCTCTTTCCTTCACCCCTTGCCCTTCCCCACTTGACAGAGCAGATTTTTAAAAGCATGCTTTAATTGACAACCCATGGCACAAATTATGTCAGCGTTCTTCCAAACAGCTATAATTTGTTTTACATCCTCTGGATAAGAGACACATACTAGTGCAAAATGGTGAGAAAGCTGGTAAGTCAGCCTCTGTAAGTTACAAGTACTGGCATAGACCTTTAGAGTGAGATTAATGCCGAAATAAAAAGAAATAGCCAGATTTCCCATGGTTTTGCTAATTAATTTGATCCTTACCACCCTTTAGCTTGGCATATTTCACAACATGACAACACCAGTGACCACTGCAAGCCATAGGATGCATGTGGGAAGCAGATCTGTAAGTTTAATAGCTCCCCTTAGTACCACTTTCAGGTCAGATACTAGATACAGAGAATCCTTTGTGGTATGAAACACACACTAGTACAGATGACAAAGCACTCGGGTATCAGTAAAAAAGATAAAAACACAAGCAAAGCTTTTAGTTGCCTGACAACTGAAATCCCACTGATATTCCAAGGTTAGTCAAACTGAACAAGGGGCAGATCTTCAGCTGCAGCTTAAACAACAGCACTACAAAATCAGCTTTGATTTCTCCCTGGGCTAGGATGTAGGTGCAATTTGGTGTTCAATGCAATGAGAAGATCCAAAATTCTCGGTACAGATAGAAGCTCATTCAGGGGCCGACTCAAGTTTGTCTCAAACTGCTCTGTCCTGCTTAAAAGGGACAATTTACTCCTGACACTTACTATTAATTAACAGCAACTGCCAATTACAGCAGTTTTAATTTTACAAGTATTAATCCTTCAAAGCCATAATCCTATCGCAATCAAAAATATCCAAGGACAATGTCAAGGCCTGGTTTTCTTATACATTAATGCATGTAACAAAAAAAATTTTAAAAAGGCATCAAATGCTACTGAGTCGAAAGACAAAAAATGATTCCTCAACATTTCCACTGAAGAGTTACTTTCAGGTAACCATCTTTATTTCATTAAATCAAGTCAGATAATGTATGCTATTATATCTAGAAGAATAGAAGATAAAATTAGTAAGTGAAACCCATTGTTAGAGATTCAATTTTTAAAAATGGCACAAAATGCATATAAGAATGCTGTGATCCAAGATAAAGGTGAGTAGTAAGAGCATGGCATAACTCAAAGGTGTGAATCTAGGGGAAGAAATGGAAAACAGCAACAGAATTCTTTGTACTGTGGGAACAGATCAGGCTGAACACTGAGAACAGGGGAACTGCAGTAACATCACACCAGCTCCTTTGGTTAATGATGCTACATTTCCAAAGTTAACATCCAGTTACAAATTAAAGTAGTAATGGAATTGAAGTTGCAATTTAAGTTTGGTTTTAGAATTACTATCCTCACAGCATCATCACTACACCACCAATGCAACAACACTGAATAACAACATTCTTAGTAAGGTTAACATATGTTAGACATCTAATTTGCAATTTTTCTCAAGAGTAAATTAATCTGCATCCAAATTATTTCAAATGACCTTCAAATACAACTGCAGTCAAATTAACTTGTGACAGATTCTCAACTCCAGCTCCATTCCCAGCTCCTGTGATCTCCCTTGGACTCATGCCTTGGGTTTGGAAACCCATTTTTCACAGTCAGCCTAAATATCAAATATGATGCATCTTACAGTTTCAAGGTAGTTACCAGGCAAGTTCTGAAAAGCATTGGTCTCAAACCCAAGACTAGCTAAAAACACAACAAAGGTTGGGTTTCTAACTCAACAATTTTAGAACTTGTATTACATATGCTTCTTTATTCTCTTCAAAGCAATCCTTTTCAACAACAGAGCACCCAAAAAATTTGCTTCAGTCTTAAGGAAGTTTATCAGTTCGCATTTCCTTGGGTCAACTTCTGTGTGTTTAAGGAAGTCAGGAGTATTTTTAATATGTTAAATTTATTTTTTTAATATGTTAAATTTATTTTTTTAATACATTGAAACAAATGAGCCAGTAACAGAGATAAAGAGTAAAACATCCTTACTCCAATTTAATGCTAAGAAGTCCTACAGTTAATGCATGTCAATGTTGTATATGTCAATGTTAACTTAAGCCCTAACAAAGTGAGGGTGTTTAAAAGATTAAAAAGTGCTTTTATATTTTTCTTCCCTTTACAAAACAGTTTGACATATGACATACATTCTTCTAAATCAGTACCTGCTCTGCTACTACTTAATGTATTGAATTTATATAAAATCTGGGGAAAAGAATGGCATTTTCTGGAAAAAGCTTCCAAGATTCAGACAAGTGCTCATTCCAGAAATGTGCACCTATGTAATTCCCTCCTCCATATCCCTATTAAATTTTGAGCTATTATAATTTCAGTAAACCTCAGTAAAAAAGAACAAAAGCTCCCTGGGAATCTTGACAAAAATCCCCCCAAAAAGGTATGAAGGGGAACAATTTTCTAATTGATGGAGAAGCATGCAAAACCCTTCAAAATTATTGAAAATATTAAGCTCTAACAGACCATAACAAAGAGCACAAGATGATGCCTTGGGTTTTAGCTTTTAGAAGGATGTATTGGCTTAGCTGGTCAGAGCATGCTGCTGGTAACACCCAGGTCATGGGCTTGATCCCAGTATGGATCATCCACTGAAGAGCTGGACTGGATGGCCCTTGTGGGTCCCTTCCAACCTGGAATATCCTGTGATTCCAGGATCATATGCTTGCTAGAACAACAGAAACCCCAGATTCCGTGTTCCTTCTGGGCAGACCAGAGAAATTTTTGGGAGATTTTTCAGTTCCAACTTGTTTACAGTGATTTTTTTTTTAAGACAATATATCAGAATCTTTAAATACAGTAATGACAGGTCCATGCCACAGCTTCCACTCTTGCCTTGCAGCCTTCTCCACCAGGTACTTAGATAAGAGGCACTGTCACTCTAAAACAACTAGGGGAAAATATATCTAAAAACCAACAGTGAGCATACAGGTGATTGCACAGTCAGTCAAACTGGGAAAAACTCTGCTTTTTGACACCTTGAATATATTGTACATTCATAAAATTTAGTATTTTTTCTGGGATCGGTTTTTTTCCTTTTCTTTTCCTTTTCTTCCTACCCCTCTTTTTTCTTCTTGAAGCCTCGATGCTGCTGACATGGGAGCTGTTCCATGGTGTTATAAATTTCTCACCACAATCAGGTAGGTCAATCAATAAGGCAATTTATTAATTTGTTGATAAGGGACGGGCAAGCAGAGCTGGGGACGTGAGGAGTTTGTGCTCCACCAACACATTGGTCTCACCTCTGGTCACTGCCCTTTTTATAGGCAGTTTTTTGTTGGGCTGTGTCATGCTTACTGTGCTGGGGTACAAGTCTGAGCAAGCCTGAACATGTTGGCTAGCACTCAAGCAGCAGTGGCTACAAGCTCCCACCAGGTCTGGACATGTCAGATTACACTCCTGGCAAGCAGGTAACAGCAGTAACAAGTCTGTTCATGTTCGCACAGTGGATACAATCATAATTATAGTGGCAAAAAAAAAAAAAAAGAAAAAGGAGGAAAAAATACATAAAAACAAAAGCCATCAATTCACAGCAAAGTGATTTAAACAAGTATCATGAAATCATTATATTTTCCTGTGTCTCCTGTCCAGGCTTTACTTTGAGTTCAGTATTCTTGTTTGTATCGATCCAGTGGTGTATTTCCATGATGACACGGAGTCACTGTGTAACATCTCACAACGGGAAGCAGGAGAAAACAGAGAAGGGTTTCTGCAGCCCACACCTCCTGCACCCCAGCACGCGTCCCAGCTCCCAGCAGCGCCAGGAGAGCTATTTACCCAAGGAAATAGCTGTGATAAGGGGACGAAAATAGCCCGAAATGATGGAAAGCATTTTGTTGATGGATACGCTGAAAAGAGAGGAAGCGAAGCTGTTGGGAAGGCGGAGCGGGCAGCGCTGCGGCGGGAGGCTGGGCACTCTTCCCTGGCCACAGCCAGAGCCACAGCCACACAGCCAGAGCCAGAGCCACACAGCCACAGCCACACAGCCAGAGCCAGAGCCACACAGCCACAGCCAGAGCCACAGCCACACAGCCAGAGCCACAGCCACACAGCCAGAGCCACAGCCA